TCTTGTTGAAACCTGCATAAACAGACTCGTCTTGCTGCTGTTGTTGAAGCTAAAAGAAGGAATCAGGAAATGAAAGAAAAGACTTTTCATCTGAAATAAAGAAAAGCAGAAGCTGTGACAACAACAGGAAGCCTTACGATGTGGATCACTGATGTCTTCAAACTGACGCAGGAAGCCGGACAGTTAAACTTAGCGTGACGCAGTCCACAACAAAACCCAGAGCATCCAGAGGCCGAAGGAGATGATCCGTAAATCCAACAGAAACTGTCCACCAGCACACTTCCTTATTTGTCTGAAGTCATGTCCTTATCTCAATACTTACTGTGATCACACATCTATCTACCAATACAGTAACATTATTTTTACATTTTGAAACACTTTCATCCTTCCCAGGCTTCTTTTTGGTCCTGCTCCCACAGTAATTAATATGTCTGTTTGGAGCTGAACACGCAAAAGTGTTCCCATGATCAGTGTGATGGAACGTCATTTTCCCCCTGAGCTGCAGGGCCATTGTGAAAACTCTTCAATTAACTTCAGGGTCTTCTTCAATTGGAACCTAAAATGTTATGAGCGCTTCTTAAATACCCTGTTTTTCTTCCACATGTCCGTTAACTTCTCAGTTTCCCAGGTCTATTCAAATGTGGAAAAGACTTCAGGATGGAGCGGGGAGACAGATGCAAACAGCAGACGAGCTTCAGAGAGTGAGAAACACGAGAGGACGGTGATTTGCCTTCTGGACAGGCCCGTCACCTCAACGGGAGATGGATTTAGGCTTCAATTTGAATTTGACCATCATTGAGGAGGCACTATGGTAGAAACATCACATGTGCAAAGATTCGAATACTCAGGTGCTCAAAGTGAGAAATAGAAATAAAAAGAAATGAAGTCTCTAATATGTTGAATAGTAAACCATAAAGAAAAGCCACTATCTGACAAAGCTGAGGTACTTGTGCTTTAGTATTTCCCTTTTATGTAATTATAACCATATACTCCACTGCTTCTTATCATGTATACACCACAAATCTTGATGTGTTGGTTTTGAATGTTTGTGACTGAAAGATGAAGTGTTTGAGAAAATTCTTACTCCTACTTAAAATAAATGAAGCACTCTTAGATGAACATGTTCCCTAAGTTCGTGGAAAAGTTGGCTTTGTAGAGATCCATGGTTCTTAAAGGACAGTGATACTAACATCCTTTTGAATATGATGCATTGCTGTAGATTAAAATGCAACATATACATCAATGCAGCAGTCTTCTTAAAGCACAACTGTTTCACACTGACAGGGGAACATTTTACTGTACAAAACCTTCTTACTCAGTTTTTCCTTTATACTTTCATAGTGAGATAGTACCTTTACATCAATTATCTGAATAGTTCTGCCAATGATTACAGCTCATGGAAATCTAAACTCCATATCTGAGAATAAATGTACAATACAGAAACATCGACGGAAGAAGAGCCTTAAATCTCTCAGTCTGGTTCAGTACACAAAGCCACTATCATGAGGAAGACTTCTGAAGCCACATAAGGTCATTGCTGAAAGGGCTGGCTGTTCAGAGTGCTGTATCAAAGCGTATTCTTAGTAAGGTGACTGGAACATCGGCTTTTTTAATGTCCACTTTCCCTCAATGTTGGAGAAGACACTGGCTACTACGTGCACTTAAGTGAAAGAAATTCCTGTTTTATTACTGGTATTTATAAAGTCACAGTTGAACAGTAAAAGATTCTCATATTTGAATAATTTTAATATTAAACACTGTATAGAAAACATTTTTACTTTCTTCCAGTTAGGCAACTACTGGAAACTGTTCCCATTCTGTGCAAAGCCTCTACAGAAAAAGTAACATCATTTGGATATAACTGCACCTTTATAAAAGTAGTATTATTAGGCTATATGTAGACGTTTTACTACAAGACACAACAGCTGCAGCAGCCTCTCTACACCGTTTCAACCTGACCATTGTTTTCTCCACGAGATGGAAGAATTTAGAAAGTTGTGTGTGAAGAGTCTCCAGCTGCAGCAGCACCTGGATCATGTGTAAAATCAGGAGCGTCTGACTTCATCCAGCCAAAGTAGGCCTGGCGGAGAGGGAGCAGGGCGCAGGAGTGTACAGGGCGAGGGAGAGAAGGTCGCGGAGTGACCTGGCGTGATCTTTCACTCTGCTGGATGAAGACAACGCTCCTGATTTACACATGATCCATGACGATACAGAAAAACAGCAATGAATAGCAAAAGTAGTATCAAAATATCACAAATCATTTTTTCAGGGGAGCTCATGTCTTATAACGAAGAGCCAAGCTGTTTATCAGATGTTATATTATACACTATTATTATATCACATGTTCGGGTCCTAGATCGCCCAGGAAACCATTTGCTTCAGATCAGCCCAAAACAAAATGCTACCTTGATGCCGACGTTCTTAATCAATGTGTGACTGGAACAAGGAGAATCCTGGGTGTTTGAGTGGCTCGCAGGCAAACAGTGCACCACAATAAGGAAATGTTTTTGGTCGGGTGAGTTCGAGCCCAGCTTGACGCACTTTTGCAAAGAAAGAAACTTCCTTTTTCTTAATTTCTTTTTCTGTGTGTGGCTATTATGTGGGGCTTGGACCGACAAAATAAGCACTGTGAAGCTGTGACGTAGGGCTCTGGGTAACTGAGACAACATTTCTCACCATTTTCAGAATTTATTACAATCCTTTAATGTAGAAAATAATTAGCTCGTATACAGTCATGAGACATTTTTCTTTCTGCTTTGAGTTTTAATTGGCTGCTTCTACATTTTCCAGCTTAGAGCCTACTTACATACTTGCAGAGTATTTTTACAGTGAGGTATTGGTACTTTTATTTTTTTTTTTAAGGATCTGCATAGGTCTGTTATTTTATTCACCATTGGCTAAAAAAACTAAAGGCCCCGGCTGCAAAGAGGTTGGAGAGTAATTTAGCTTCCAGGCAAGTCATTTCTTTCATCGTAAAATCAAAATGCTGTGGGGGAAAACTACAGTCCCACACTGTCCTGGCGTTAGAAGGACTGGAACTTTAACCAATCATGTGTAGTGAAATGATGGCGACAGGATCCGCCCACCTCCTGTCAAAAAGATTAGCCGCGAGCGAGCAGGTTAAAGTTTCGCGAGCAGCAGAGCGTGGGATTGTTTTCCTCATATCTTCTCGCGATGTTTGACATTATTACGGCACTATAGGCAGGGTTCATGAATAAATGTAACTGCACAGCAGAGAATATAAACAGCAGTGCAGGTCGGAGGTATACGGCTGGCGTGGCGTGGCCCCGACCGGTCCCTTTGGAAGGCCCCTGTTGTAAGGAACCAGAGTGGGGAGGACTTGACTCGTGAAGCAGGGTTTCTTGATAACTTCAGACGCAGATACTGGAGGACCAGGAAGTCCACATCATGCAACATGTGGACCCCCTCTACACCGAGCTCCAGCAGACGAACATATCATTAAGTACATCCAGCAGCTCCAACACAAACGATCAGCTGGAAGCGGCGTTTCTGTTATTCACATTTAAAGTTAGGCCGGCTGTTGATGTACCCGGGCGTCCCGTCTGAGTAAAGTCTCTGCAGCCAGATTTAAAGTCAGGGACACTTAATCCTCCGTTGCTCCAGAGGCGTGGCGTGGCCCCGACCCTCCCGCTCTCACGGGAAAACCAATCAATGGAACTGATTAAATGTTTCAGTGTTGTCACAGGTTTCTGCTTTGTAGAAGAGACAAAGACTTGTTGATAAGTTTATTATAGTAAAAAGCAGGAAATGAAACAGATTTTAAATCGATATTACTGATCAGTCTGACCACAGTGAGAGGAGGAAAAATAATGAACATGATTCTGATTTCTATAAGACCTAAATCTAAACCTCAGGGGCCGAATCACAGAAAGTTCCTGTCTTCAGTCTTAAGTTAAGACAGGAAGAGTCTAAGAGAGGATTTTCCCCAATTTGGTATTACAGAAGCAAACTAACGAACTTTAGGAATCCTGTTATCTCAGGTTATAAAATCCTAAATACTCGTCCAACTTCGGTTATCAACTTCTTGACGGTCTGACCTGAAGTCCAGTGATAGTTGTTGTTTCTGCTCCATTTTCAGTTTGTTTCATTAAAAAAGACCAAAATTCTGTTTCAATACTTTACTATTATTTAGTGATGGTTATTTGGTAAGAGCAGACCCAACGGGCCTGAGGTAGAACTGCACGGTGTGAGGGAAATATTCAATGTGTGAGAACGTTACATATATTTTAATTTAATATTTTAAATCCAGCTAAATGTTGTTTCTAGAGCAGCAACATTAATATTTACAACAGCAAAGTAACTCAGTAACTGAAAGAACAACATCAGTCTGTATCAGTCCCTCCTCCTCTCTCCTGGCTGCAGGTAACGTTAGCAGGTAGAAGGAGGAGCGGCTGGTTTGTTTTTAAGACTACAGACCAGTCTGTGCTCCAGACAGACCGCTTTCTATTTAGCTAGTTTTTAACATTTGGCTAATGCCGAGCTAGCGTTAGCTGTGTTTGTATGAAACATACAGGATGAGATACTGAGGACAGAGATGATTAAAGGAACCGTTTCTACATGTTTAACGCCATCCCTAACCTAGCGTTCGCCTACAGCCTTTCTACTAACGAGGGTTTGGTCATCAAACACATCGCTAGAATCGATTAATAAGTTCTGCCTGTTGACGTTCAGTTGATTTTGTAAAAGCAGTAAAAGAGCAGCCGTGTGGATTAAACGAGTCAGCAAACACTAGCTGGTGGAAAAGTAAAAGTTTATTTAAGACTTTATGAAGTTAGGATGCTTCTGTAATACACTCCTCTAAATTATTACCATGGTTACCAAGCAGTTAGGATGCTTCTGTAATACACTCCTCTAAATTATTACCATGGTTACCAAGCAGTTAGGAAGTTTCTGTAATACGGGCCCAGAGCTCTGATCCCTGGAGACGGGACAGCAGCTTAGTCTCTTAGCAAAGACCCTCAGGAGGGCCACGAACTGTCCTCAGGCTCCGGGACAATCACAGGTACAGGCGTGATCAGAGGCAGAGAAACAAAGCTGTCAAATTTTAGTTTTCCTTAATTATGAATGATTTAGTTTCATATTTACACGTAACAAAGTTTCACTGCAGTCAGTTACAGTCAGAGATAATACTTTAAACATTACAGAGGCACTTTGAAGCAGAACACGCAGCTACTGGACCCGACCCGGTTCCTAGAGAACACGCAGCTACCGGACCCGACCCGGTCTCCTGTTCCTGAAGAACACGCGGCTACCGGGCCCGACCCGGTTCCTGAAGAACACGCAGCTACCGGGCCCGACCCGGTCTCCTGTTCCTAGAGAACACGCAGTTACCGGGCCCGACCCGGTCTCCTGTTCCTAGAGAACACGCAGTTACCGGGCCCGACCCGGTCTCCTGTTCCTAGAGAACACGCAGTTACCGGGCCCGACCCGGTCTGCTGTTCCTAAAGAACACGCAGTTACCGGGCCCGACCCGGTTCCTGAAGAACACGCAGCTACCGGGCCCGACCCGGTCTCCTGTTCCTAGAGAACACGCGGCTACCGGGCCCGACCCGGTCTCCTGTTCCTGAAGAACACGCGGCTACCGGGCCCGACCCGGTCTGCTGTTCCTAAAGAACACGCGGCTACCGGGCCCGACCCGGTCTCCTGTTCCTAGAGAACACGCAGCTACCGGGCCCGACCCGGTCTCCTGTTCCTGAAGAACACGCGGCTACCGGGCCCGACCCGGTCTCCTGTTCCTAGAGAACACGCGGCTACCGGCCCGACCCGGTCTCCTGTTCCTAGAGAACACGCGGCTACCGGGCCCGACCCGGTCTCCTGTTCCTGAAGAACACGCGGCTACCGGGCCCGACCCGGTCTCCTGTTCCTAGAGAACACGCAGTTACCGGGCCCGACCCGGTCTCCTGTTCCTAGAGAACACGCGGCTACCGGCCCGACCCGGTCTCCTGTTCCTAGAGAACACGCGGCTACCGGCCCGACCCGGTCTCCTGTTCCTAGAGAACACGCGGCTACCGGCCCGACCCGGTCTCCTGTTCCTGAAGAACACGCGGCTACCGGGCCCGACCCGGTCTCCTGTTCCTAGAGAACACGCAGTTACCGGGCCCGACCCGGTCTCCTGTTCCTAGAGAACACGCGGCTACCGGCCCGACCCGGTCTCCTGTTCCTAGAGAACACGCGGCTACCGGCCCGACCTGGTCTCCTGTTCCTAAAGAACACGCGGCTACTGGGCCCGACCCGGTCTCCTGTTCCTAAAGAACACCAACCTAGTAGACCGGGTCGACGTGTACAGGAACCAGCTGATGCGTTTAACATGAAGCAAAGCTCGAGCAGTAAAATACATTTCATCAATACTGAGATGAGTCCTCCTGTCTTCATCTGTCCTCCATCAGCTGTTTCACCTCCCTGTTCTGATCCAGAGACAGACCGGATCGACGATCACAGATTAAACAGCATAATCAGCCATCAGAGGAGTTTCATCAGTGGAGTTGCTCCTCTCTGCAAAGGAGACAGAGGACAGTAAGACAGAGACAAACACAGAGACTGAGAGGAGACAGAGGACAGTCAGACAGAGACAAACACAGAGACTGAGAGGAGACAGAGGACAGTCAGACAGAGACAAACACAGAGACTCAGAAGAGGCAGAGGACAGTAAGAGACAAACACAGAGACTGAGAGGAGACAGAAGACAGACAGAGACACACACAGAGACTCAGAAGAGACAGAGGACAGTAAGAGACAAACACAGAGATTGAGAGGAGACAGAGGACAGTAAGAGACAAACACAGAGACTGAGAGGAGACAGAGGACAGTAAGAGACAAACACAGAGACTGAGGACAGAGACAAACACAGAGACTGAGAGGAGACAGAGGACAGTAAGAGACAAACACAGAGACTGAGGACAGAGACAAACACAGAGACTGAGAGGAGACAGAGGACAGTAAGAGACAAACACAGAGACTGAGAGGAGACAGAGGACAGTAAGAGACAAACACAGAGACTCAGAAGAGACAGAGGACAGTAAGAGACAAACACAGAGACTGAGGACAGTCAGACAGAGACAAACACAGAGACTCAGAAGAGACAGAAAAGACAGACAGAGACAAACACAGAGACTCAGAAGAGACAGAGGACAGTAAGAGACAAACACAGGGACTCAGAAGAGACAGAGGACAGTAAGAGACAAACACAGAGACTCAGAAGAGACAGAGGACAGAGAGACAGAGATACAGGGACTCAGAGGAGACAGGAAAGACAGACAGAGAAACAGAGACTCACAAGAGACAGAGGACAGACAGAGACACACACAGAGACTCAGAGGAGACAGAGGACAGACAGAGACACACACAGAGACTCAGTCTGCATACTGACCTGAGACCCTTAGCTCAACTGTTGTCTCTTTCCTGATGTTCCCCTCATTGCTGTAGACTCTGCAGATGTATCGTCCTCCGTCTCTGACTGTGGGGGATTTCAGGGTCAGACTGAAGTCTCCCTGTTTCAGGTTTCTCTTCATCTCTGTGCGTCCTCTGTAAGACGGGTCCTGTTGGTCCTGCCGGCCAGAGCCGTCCTCGTACATGTAAGCCATGATTGTGGGTCTGGGTTTAAACCGTCTCCACTCCACTGTGACATCCTCAGGCAGGTCATCTGTGATCTTGAAGGGCAGGCGGACAGACTCCACCCCCTCCTCCACCTCCACCTGATGGTCTGAGAGGACAACAAAGGACAACATGAGCTGTTTCACCTGCATGTTCTCTCTGATCCAGAGTCAGATCAAAGGAACGCTCCCCACGCGCCACTGCCCGACTAAACAAGCCTCTTGTTCCACAATCCACCTTGGCCGAAGAAGCTTTTCCATACAAGGCCGGGCTTTCTTCTGCCTCTCGGACGTCTCCCGATTGCAGATAAATACATTTACATCATCAGCATATGCTGGTGCAACAACGGGGGGCTTCTGAGCCAGCTCTCGTAGGGAGAGACCCCTCAGTCTGCTCCTCAACCTGAAGAGGAGAGGCCTAATGGCATCTATTTAATAAGACCATGGAGAGAATCTTATGGTCCATGCATTAAGGAGCTGGTCTCCGGTTCTTTAAAAGGGCTACATCTCCCGTTTTAGGCAGCAGAGAAAGAAGTGCACGCCTACAGGATGTCCTGAAGTCGGTCCCATGACGTTCTGAAATCCAACAATAACCCAGAACAACAGTCAAAACTCCGGAAAGGGTTCTCTTCGTCTGGCGCTTCCTCACGTTTCCAAACTTGTTAGTAATCCCTGTTTTGAAGGGATCTCTTTTTGTTATCTTGTGTTTATGTTTTTGCATCACCGATTTGCCCAACTTTTGTTGTTTAATCCTTGTAAAACTCCTGTGAATCCACCTAAACAATGGGTTTGTCCCTTAGCGTCCACCTGGGTGATGCTCTGGAAACGTGAACGAACCAGTGGGCTATTTTTATAACAGGAGTGTTTCCTCCTGCATTTAAAAAAATCTCCGTCCACATGAAAATGCAAATATGCGCCGTCAAGAGCACGCCAAAACACCTGGCGGCGATGTGACCCTAACCGTAAAGCCAAGTTGGCCAATCAGAGCCTAATAAAATTGGAAACAACGCAGGCAGTGGCGAAAACATCTACACGACAGCACTGCAACCGGGGTTTCTGAAAATCCTCACCCTGGCCGTTTTTTCAAAACTGTTTGGTTTCGGCGACCTGATGCCGCGTTTCCGTGTGAACGAACGGCCGGACCGCGTAGAAAAAGTCACGGTTACCTGTGTTCATGTAGACAGGGCCGTAGTGTTTCCCACACTGGTAGTATCAACGCTGACTTTTTAAAATGATTTATTTAAAATCGTAGTTGATTGCTGCACCTTGTCTCCCTCCCTCTTTCTCTCTGAACACTACAAGATACTTTATTGTCACACACATACTCCTCAAACGTCCACCAAATCATGTGTTTTTATTACTTCATTAATCGCCTTTTTTGAAGCAGCATGAGGTTCAACATGATTCCTGTCTGAGTTAAAATCTGCCCCTAAAAGTAACACAGCTAGTCAGAGTGTCACTGAGAGGATTAATAAAACGGACTAAATCATTCTCTCTGCAGCGCTTCATCTCTGATGGACGGTGAAACAGCTTTCTGGCCCGTGAGGCCAGAGGCAGCGCTGGTACGAACGTGTCTTTCACCTCATCACCTCATCCTGGCTGCAGATCTGACACTGTCACAAGCACAGACAACCTCCTCTGTGGAGCAGCGGAAACCAGGACAGATCTTTAGTCCGCGTTTCCTCGTCAGTGAAACGCTGCCGCAGCACAAAACTGACAAACACACCAACTTACCTTAGAAATACACACAGTCAAGTAAGACAGCAACACTTTAATGCAACATGAAACACAGACAAGTTTAGAAAAACTTATTCATCAATTGAAATTGAGACTGTGTTGTGTGTGTCATCACCTTTGAGCCTGAGATCATTCACGTAAATGATCCCATCTTTGTAGAAATTCAGGCCACTTGCCACAGAATCTGAATCTGGATCTGAAGAAGAAGAAGAAGAAGAAGAGGACATACTTTATTAATCCTGCAAAGGAAAATTAAATGTTTTCTGTGGTCTTGAAGGGCAGCAGGTCAGACTGCTCCCCGTCTTCCCCTCCTCCACCTGATGAACTAAAGGCTCGAGTGTAGTCTGGAGCGGACGCGGATAGCTGCGGAGTAGACAACCTGCTTCCTGTTTACACCGGCGCGCACATGCCCAGTGTGCGTGAACGGTCACGTGACGCGTGTTTCCAGTTGTTTTAATAGAGACGGAGCTCTGAAACACAGCTGAAACTCTACTGCCGACTGCTTTAAAACAAATATGTAGCACAAGTGGACAACAAAGCACAACAGATGCATACATGTAGTTTACTGCTAAATTATTTTATTTGGATCATCCCCAAAACTGACAACTCATAGTTTTCAGTCACGTGACGTGCGCGCTGACGTGGAGGGCAAAACAACCACCAACGTAGCGGCTTGCAGCGCGACTCCCCTGTAGAGACGCCGCAGAATCAGTGACGGTTTATTTGGATCGCCAAACTTAGGAAAAAGAAAGATATGAACACAAACTGCAAGTGTCGGGCACTTCCGATCCGCTGCCGCATTTCTACCATTAACAAGCGCCAGGTCCCTGCCGCCGCTCGACCGCGTTGATGTTTACGTTTACCTTGTGGGGAATCCCTCACTAACAGCTCAGACTTCCTCGATTAGTGCGTCAGAAAGCACAACTACCATCCAGCAGACTCACAGTAACACTGTGTCACTTGCTTCCTGGTTGGCGGGCAGCAGGAAATGACGGCTTTTTGCCCTCCAAAGGAGCGTTTATCTTGGAATGTGACGCTCGAGACATAACGTGACGTCGTAGGACCCGCTGGTCTCGACAGCAGTATCGATAAGCTCAAACCTTATTGATTTCAGGGAAACTTTGGAACTGGGTCTCGATCCCCATCCATACCCATCGCTATGTTGGAGACGTACGTTAGAAGAAGAAGTAATAAAATACAGCAGGGGTCTGCAAATAAGTTTTTCATGGGAGCAATATCTTAAACATAAAAGCCGTAATATGACCTTGCGTTGGAGAGAGATTTGGTTGGCTCAGCTGGTGCGGTGCAGGACTCGCTACTTAAGGGTTGAGGGTCAGATCCCACCTCGGGACAGGTTGGTTTTTCTCTCTTCAACAAATGGATTCTGCAGTGAATGTTTCTCAGCTCGCAGCATGTGCTGCACTGTTTGTGTTTCGGTGTTTGATCCTCATCCTTCAACCTACGGACGCTTTTCATTTCCCCAGTATCTCCAGGCAGAGCACATTCAGGGGAATCACGTTCTCTGACGGCTCCTTCAGAGCTGCACACTCTTTTAACGTCGTTCAGAGGTTTTCAAAGTAAAAGCTCAGTTCAACTCCTAATCAGTTTTGACTCCCTGACCGGCAGACCCCGCGGGGGACGGTCCTCTGTCCCTTCCTCCACCACACAGAGTCCGGCCCTCTTCAGAAGGTTTCTGATGACTCTGCTGTGGTTGGATGTGTCAGCGGGGTGACGAGGCTGAGCACAGAGCTGTGGGGGGGACTTGGTGGGGGAACAGAACCGCCTACAGCTCAACGGGACAAAGACTAAAGAGCTGGTTGTGGATCTAAGGAGAGCCATCCAGGGGGTCCCTGTGGACGTTGGAGGATTACAGATACCACATGGACTATAAACTGGACTGGGCCAAGAACACTGAGGGCCTCTACAGGAGGGGCCAAAGGAGGCTGAGGTCCTTCAACATCTGCAGGACGATGCTGAGGATGTTTTATGAGTCTGTGCTGTCCTGTTTGCTGTTGCATGCTGGGACAGCGGACGCCAACAGACTCAACAAACTGATCCAAGGCCAGTGAGGTTGTGGGGGCGGAGCTGGACTCTCAGAGAGGAGGACGCTGTCCAAGCTACATGTCATCTTGGACAATGTCTCCCACCCGCTCCATGACGTGCTGCTCAAACACAGGAGCACCTTCAGTGCAAGACTCGTTCCCCCATAATGCACCACAGGAAGTCCTTCCTGCCTGTGGCCATCGAACTCTGTAACTCCTCCCTCTAAGTGTCTGACACACGGACACTTAGTTAGTTTTAAACTGCACATGATCATCTGTTTGGTGCAATAACACCTGCTTAAATACTTAATGTGCGACACTCTGCTGCTACTAGTCATTCATTATTACTGGTCACCATAACAACTCTTTAAAGCATGTTTCACCCCTAAAACCCTGTTAATGTGATCAGAATCATTCTAGATACGACTGTTCATGTTTGTGTCTTCATTTCACAGCTTCTGACATTTATCTGTAGACATTAATATAAAAATAGGCAGCGTGAGAAACCTCCTCCCTTCTGAGGTGCATTTTATTTGCACATTAACATCCAAACAGAAACGTCTCCTCATCAGCTTAAAAGGACGAGTTTGCATCACTAATTAGCTTTACTGACCTCAGCTCCTCCAGTCACCTCCGTCCTTTCTTTTCCAACTGAAAACTGAAAAAGAATTGAAGCAGTCTGTACAGGACGGAGCTGCAGGCTGCACCAGTTTACTCTCAGTTTGTACCTGATGTTCTCAACATTGGACAAGTAGGCAGTAATAAAATCCAGCTTCCAGCTAAAGTTAAGTTACAGAGCAGCTCTGTAGCTGCTGTAGAAGCTGCTCAGTCTGAAGGGGAGATGTTGGCTAACTCAGCGCTAACCGGCTTCACTTTTCCAGCAGCTGGGAAACAACAGACTTTTCTCGGTCTTGAGAAGCCGACACGCTGTAACAGACACCGGACATTTACTGGCAGAATATTTTCCTCCGCTCGCGTTCAGCGTCACTTCCTGCCGCTCGGACAGTCACACACTCGCTGCGCACCTCCTGATTCAGAGTTACGCTGCTCTTATAACAGCATCTGTATGTTCTGCATAGAACGAGGACAGGAAGCGAGCCGAGCGTGGAGTGCTGCCGTGCTCGCACAGTGTGCCAGTGAAAACATTTGTCCAGTTTAATGATCGCGGGAAAGTTTAGGAGCGACGGCCGTGATGCAAATTGAAAAAAAAAACTGCTGCTAGACGAAAGCTCTGCAGGTGGGTTGAACATTTCATCCAGTAGTCAGGCAAAAAAATGTCCCTCAGAGACCTCATGGTGGCGCCAGAACAATCACCTTTGCTTTTTTGCAATTATCTCAAAAACAGCTTCGTTTAGAGTCAAACTTCTTTCATCATTTTAATCTCTGGATTTATCTGCATCTTTGCTCTAAAAATGTCAAATTACACAACTTTTTATCACTTTTCTCTAAAACCTATTTTTCCCCAGACGGTTTTGCCAATCGACCTGAAACTTTGGCAGGATCATCTACGGACGTCGCTGTTCAAAAGTTTTTTCCCCATAAATTTTTACTTTTGTGTATTTACATACAATTTTACATAAATGCCCGTAAATCAAAATTGGCTAAAACTATTGTCACCAAACTCGACACTGATGGCCGATATCAAGTATTCAAGGGTTTTCAGATCAGTCAAACGGATATTCAGTATCTTGTAATTCACAACACACCCAAAACTGGCAGAACGACGCATGTTTTTTTCAATTTTCTCACCAACATCTAGCTGTAAGCGTTTTAAGTTTAAACTGACAAGATTATCCAGGTCTGGCACATGTGACATCACTGCCTCGACCTGTGAGAAGGTGATTAAAAACAGCCTCTCAGCAGTAGCTCAGTTAGTAAATCACCTGTTCTGGAGCTCTGCAAGGTTCAAATCCTCAGGTGAGCTGACAATGGGGGCGTTCAGATCATAGTGAGTCTAAGGTCTCTATTTTATTTGGATCCCTGTCAGTTGCTAAAAACTGTTTGTGCAGCTTTAACTTTAAATCTTGGAAACACAAAATGTTGCAGGTGGGTTGAACATTTCATCCAGTAGTCAGGTACATATAATGACGCTCTGATCTCAAGGCGATGCTTTAAAAAGTATACGTTTCCCCAGTTATCTCTCTTTCATCACTTTAATATGTTGTGTTTTTCGTGACTTGCTTGGATCCCGATCACTGCCACTATATTTTTATTTATATTCCTTTTGCCTTTTGTGCAATGCGTGCAACTGTGACACAGAATTTCCCCTCGGGGATCAATAAAGTATTTCTGATTCATCATACAGTCCGCACCATACATTTACATAAGATTGCACAAGTATCCCTACAGCTGTCATTGATTACAAGGTAAGTAGAACCTGAGTGTGACGGCCCCTCTGCAGGGTTCATTCTGCTGTTGGTGAGCTTTCTGTCTCCAGGTCAGCGGCATGGGACACACCAGGGCCCGGTGTGCCCCGAGTGTGTATAAGCCAGAGCAGCCGTTAGTCTGGGGTTGGACCTCCTTCATCTCACAGCTTCGGTTGTTTGTTTGGTTTCTTGTCTTTGTTTTTACAGCACAACATCCATGCAGCACATTTTCACTCATCCATACCCTACACTACTGACTTTACAGATTCTTCACACGTTTGCACAAAGATGTGTTGGCGTATAATTTGGCCGTTTTTTGTCAGATCAAAATTCCCTCTACAAACTTTCATCATCTTGGTCCAGAGATTATCCGAGCCAAGTTTCGTGCTGATTGGACTTGCGGCTTCAGAGGAGTTAATTAAAATAGGTTTTTCAGTTTTTGCGACGTAGCGAAAATAAAGTCTAGGTGGAAATGGGCGTGGCCTATACCACAAGATTCAGCTGGATCCCCCGTGTGGATATAAGGTTTTTGATATCCACCTTCGTAGGCGGGAGTTCTAAGACAAAATGCGTTGACCTTGCTTATGGCGCCCCCTAGAGGTAGAAGTAATTTTGCACCTGAGTTACGTGCAGTGAACTGGACCTACCTTGTGAGTTTTATGTCCCTAGCAGTTACCGTCTAGGCTGCAGTATGAGTTTTATGCACGGAAGAAAAAGAATAATAAAAACCAGAACGAACTGGGACTGGTACTGGGAACTGCGACAACCTAACGATGCCATCCCTAATCCTGAGAGACAAACTGTACAAATACTTAAAGTACACATGTTTCCTGAGCTCTGTGTGAAATAAAAAATAGCTGTTAACTTCATTAACTTGATCTGCTGCTTCTGCGCTCCACACAGACCAGCTACAGCAACACCAAAGGGTCAAAACTCAAAATTCCCAATGGCCTAAACATACAGCGATCAGTAGGTGGAGAAAGGGCGGCACAATGCTGTGTCACTGAAACTGCTGGTACACAGCAATTTGTTTTTGCAGTAAAAAAATAAAAAAAATAAAAATCAGTAATTTGCATTTTATAAAGACATTTTTTTATAATAATTTTTCATAGTTGCTCTTTATTGTTAATTTACAGACTGAACACATGTGCTGCAGATTTGTGCAGTTTTATACAAGTTTGGATTTGCAGCAAATAAATTAGATGATTTACAGGCATTTTGTATTAATATTTGGATAAATATCGTGATGTATCATTTTAGGGTTGTCAAGCGATATATTGATTTGCTGTATCAGGATATTATTGTTATCGTGAGTGATGTATCGTAAGGTACCCTGCGATTCCCAACCCTACTCTTTAATTTTCTAATTATTAAGGATGAGATGATTCCTCACACACCAAAACTCACAGTTTAACACACTTCTCTGCCCTTCTATTTCAGCAGTTATCCACCCAAAACCCTACGCAGAGTCGCAGTCTAACACACTTCTCTGCTCCTCCATTTCAGGAGTTACTTAGTGAAAATCCTATAGTGACGGTGTCTGCCCCCCGACCATCGAAATTATTTAAAAAGGTAAACAGAAGAGGAGCTGTGCATAAAAACCTCATAAAAATTAAAACCACAAGAGCAATAGTGCAAACGAATAGGAGAGTTAAATGTGGACTCTTAAACATCAGATCTCTCTCTTCTAAAGGTGTACTAGTAAATGAACTAATATCAGATTATGATATTGATTTATTTTGTCTTACTGAAACCTGGCTGGGTGATGGAGAATATGTTAGCCTAAATGAATCCACCCCTCCCAGTCATATTAATACTCACATTCCTCGAGGCACAGGCCGAGGAGGTGGAGTTGCAGCTATCTTCCACTCTAGCCTACTAATCAGCTCTAAACCTAAACTAAACTATAACTCATTTGAAAGTCTTGTTCTTAGTCTTTCGCACCCAAGTTGGAAATCACTGCAACCAATTCTTTTTGTTATAGTGTACCGAGCACCTGGTCCGTACTCTGAATTCTTATCTGAATTTGCAGAGTTTTTGTCAACTTTAGTCCTTAAAACGGACAAAGTTATTATTGTAGGGGATTTTAATATTCATGTAGATGTTGAGAATGACAGCTTCAGTACTGCGTTTATCTCTCTGTTAGATTCCATTGGCTTCTCTCAGAGTGTTCATGAACCGACTCCCTGTTTTAACCACACCCTCGACCTTGTTTTGGTGTATGGTATTGAAATTGAACATTTAGTGGTGTTCCCACAGAATCCCTCTTTGTCCGACCACTGTTTGATAACTTTTGAGTTTGTATTGCTGAACTACTCGCCATCGGGCATAAATTTCTATACAAGATGTCTGTCTGATAGTGCTGTAGCTAAATTTAAGGATGCGATTCCATCAGCTCTAAATACATAATCTAGTCACAAAGTAACGGAGGACTCCTATGCTAATTTCAGTCCCTCCCAAATCGATCATCTTGTTGATAGTGCTATGTGTTAGTGCTAGTGATATGACACTCGACTCTGTAGCCCCTCTAAAAAAGAAAATACTAAAACAAAGACGGTTAGCTCCATGGTATAATACTGAAACTCGCAAATTAAAGCAAATATCACGGAAACTTGAGAGGAATTGGCGTTCCACCAAACTGGAAAATTCTCGTTTAATTTGGCAAGATAGTCTTAAAACTTATAGGAAGGCCCTCCGTAATGCCAGAGCAGCGTACTACTCGTCATTAATAGAGGAAAATAGGAACAACCCCAGGTTTCTTTTCAGCACTGTAGCCAGGCTGACAGAGAGTCACAGCTCTATTGAGCCAAGTATTCCCATAGCTCTCAGTAGTTACGACTTCATGAGCTTCTTACATCCAAGTTAAACAGAATTACTTGCAACAACAGATTTTATGTATCATAGCTACCAAAGCAGTCAGAAAAAACACCCACTAGCGCTCCCTGCTGGGCGTTTTCAGAAGAGCAGCTGGCAAAAATAGCTTTGGTGGACACAGACCCTAAGACTCTTCAGCTGATCCAGAATGCTGCAGCTGGTGTTCTGACAGGAACCAGGAAAAGAGATCACATTTCTCCTGTTTTAGCTTCCAGTAAAATCCAGAATAGAATTTAAAATCATTCTTCTTGCCTACAAAGCTCTTAATGAAGACGGTGCCTGACCAAGTTTGGGGTTGAGACTCAGCAGATCAACTCTGATCAGGATTGTGGGCAAAAAAGTTTGAGTAATCACGTGAGCTTAGTTAAATAAATGTTCCTTCTTCTCTAGTGCCTTATTCAGATGCATTTATCTGAGGACTTACAATTTTGATTATTAAAACTGATTCCTCCTAATAACCAAGTTGATTTGTCCCACAGTTTCTCAACTCCAGTAACTTGCTTTGTACCCTTTAACGAGTGTGTGCGGTGATTCACTACACATGTATCTACACACTGACCTTTGACCCAGAGCTTCACTTGTCTCTTCATCAGGACTTTTCCCTCCCTGCTGTAGACGGTGCAGGTGTAGGTGTTACTGTCTCTGTCTGTGGGCTGTTTCAGGGTCAGACTGAGGTCTCCAGGTCTCTTTCTCCTCATCTCTGTTCGTCCTCTGTAACGTCTGTTCTGTCCTCCAGGCTGGTCAGAGCCGTTCTTCTGATACACATGGATCTTCCTGTTGAATCCATCCGTCCACTCCACTGTGACGTCTTCAGACAGCTGAACTGTGGTTTCACAGGGCAGCAGGACAGACTCCACCCCTGAATCCACCTTCACCTGTGGGACTGAGAGGACAACAGAGAGCAACAGTAACAGGAACATTGTTATATTCTTGTTATCAGAGACAGAGCAGCTTTATTCCTCTTTGTCCACCACTGATCATTTCAACAGTGACATCTATCTACACACTGACCTTTGACCTTGAGCACCACTTGTCTCTTCATCAGGACTTCTCCCTCCCTGCTGTAGACGGTGCAGGTGTAGGTGTCTCTGTCTCTCTCTGTGGGGTGTTTCAAGGTCAGACTGAGGTCTCCAGGTCTCTTTCTCTTCATCTCTGTTCGTCCTCCAGGCTGGTCAGAGCCGTTCTTCTGATACACATGGACCTTCCTGTAGAATCCATCCGTCCACTCCACTGTGACGTCTTCAGACAGCCGAACTGTGGTTTCACAGGGCAGCAGGACAGACTCCTCCCCTGAATCCACCTCCACCTGTGGGACTGAGAGGACAACAGAGAGCAACATGATGTGTAGAGACAGCAGCAGGAAATATGTCCCATTGTCCATCTAACAGAGACTTTGTCTTTGGTGTCTCTACAACCAGCAGCAGACTGAGTGTCAGATGGACTCAGTCTGTCTCAGAGACACATTTACAGTCACAGAACTGGACTGAACTAAAACTATGTTAACAAGATCAGACACCAGAGTTTCCCGTACGTTCGTTTATTTGTGCCGCCACAATATCAACGCTGACCGCCACACACTGATTAGATTTATTTTTTACTAAGCCTATTTAAATCAGATTTGATTGCAGAGCGCCGTCGCGCATTCGCACAGCACTTCCTCCCGCTCGTCCCTCTCGTCCGTCCCGCTCTCTCTCTCCCTCGTTAACACAGCTGCACAAGTCTGTCCGACACAACGGCGTCGATGTCGGAGACCCGGCTATTAAAAGTTATTAGCGAGCATGTAAGGAGCCCAGCTAATAAGGAGCTGAGTTCATGTTAGAATACTGCTGGATTTTCGAGGCGAGCACGCTGTTTATAGCTGGTAGTCATAGCGACGCACGCACTTGCACGCGCATCCCACGCCACAGTTACAGTCTTATTTCATTATTATTTTATTGGCCATTACATTATTTATTCACCATTAGCTTGTGAAGGGACAATCTGAACTTCTGGTTATTAAAGGTCTGAGCTGCAGATTCTGATTTCTTTCTTTCCAAGAACTATAACTGACAGTAAACACAAACATTTCTGTTTCAGGGCTCCCATGGGCCCCTGCATCAGCTATTCTTCCTGGGGCCCATTCAGCTGTATGTTCATTATAAAACAACTTCGACATTTTCCCTAAACTGCAGCAGGTTACAGGAGCTTCTGTCCCTCAGACACATCTCAGAATAAAAGGTGCTCCAGGTCTCAGGCTGCAGACGGAGCTTTCTGTCATTTAACTGAAACTGCAAAGTTAAGTAGGCCCACATTATGTTCCTACAGAGCGACAGAGTAACTGGAGGGGACCTGGGGTCTTTATTAATGTAAACTAACTGTATTACTGAAATTCATAGTGTGTCATGCAGCGTCAGACCAACAAGCAGCTGCTTTACCAACACAGACGTCACCCTGCTGTACAGGTTATACTGAGACACCCAGTTAACTCATGACTGCCCGACCAGGAGAACAACAAACGCACGTGGTCACATTTCAGCCGAGGACTGCGGCTTCCTCTGACTTCAACTCAACAATCAGTCACGATTTCAGTTAAATCTGCAACCAGCAGCATCGTCGTCACGTCGTGTTCACAGCGTGATGTGCGACAGTCATAAATGTACGGGCCAAACAGTGTGGATTAAACGAAACGTCGACACAAATAATTCAATAATGTTTCAGCCCCACTCATGAGGGATCACAACCTGAAACACGACCGCTTTCATGCAGAAATCCTGCAGTCAGCGCAGGAACACCAGCACGCAGCTGCTGCTTTTCACTCAGACATGTTCAGGCTCTGTAACTTTAACGTTCCCGTCTCAGAGGCGGATCAACGCCTTTCATTCAGCGCAGCGAGCCGCACATCGACACAATCCTCCTGTAAAAAGTGACAGCAGCTACAGACAGACAGGGAGAGACGTTACGAAGCAGCGGCAGGTCTACTGTAGCGTTAGCTGGCTGCATCGCTACAGGCTAACGTTACGAAACAAATCGCTCCACATTTGCTTTTCACAGTTACATCCAGGTTAAATCACCACTTTGACATATTACCAGTGGTCGCAGGATAGTAACATGGGTCGTTAGTTGGTGAAGTTATATTGAATGTGATACAACTTTGCACTGGATAACTTTAGCAACTGCTCGGCGAGCTAACGTGACTTTCTGTGTTTCTCCAGCTTTACTAACGCTCACTGTGTTCTTACTCGACATCATCTGAACCCGTTTGGTCTGACGGGCTTCAGCACGTAAACCTTTATTGTAGTTTTGGATCCTTACGTGGAGCCTGTGGTTTCATGGATGTTAGCGGGCTGCGTGTCGTTAGCTGGCGTGTTGTCGCTGTAGTCTGAGAGGCTCAG